GCTAATCCATAATTTCTAATATTGTGGCTAATTTGTTGGTTATACAAAAGCAGTCTTCCTCCCTCCAGGTAAGAAGGATTTTATTTCAGGGAGAGGCTGTTATCATCTTTGTTTCAAAGTTAAACTGTAAACTAAATTCCTCCCAAAGTTACTTCAGCCTATGCCCAGAAATGACCAAGGGCAGCTTGGAAGTTAAAGGCAAGATGTAGTCAGTTAGGTCAGATCTCTTTCACTGTCATAATTTTCTCACTGTTATAATAATTTTTGCAAAGGCAGTTTCAATTCTAGCCACTATTCCAAACTGCCATGCCTCATTTCAAGCCCTCTTCTTGATGGAGGGAAGGCAAACCCCAAAGTGGAGCTTAGCCTCTGAGAGTTCTTGGCTTTTTCCAGGAAAGAATTCAAGGGCAAGCTAGAGGCAGAAGAAAATAACTCTATTGAACAGACAGTGTTACAGCTCCACTGGTGTTACAGCTCTGTGACTGCTCCTGCAGAGCAGAGCTACCCCATAGGCAGAGAGTAGCAGCTCAGGGCAGTTTTGCAGTCATATTTATACCCACTTTTAATTGCATGCAGACTAAGAGGGAGTTTATGCAAAAATTTTTAGGGAAAGGGTATTAACTTTTGGGTAATTGGGCCATTGCCATGGAAAGGGGTGGTAACGCCCTGGTGTTGCCATGGCAACGGTAAATAGACATGGCACACTAGTGGGCATGTCTGATTGAAAGCTGCTTCCATCCTGGCCCTGTTTTAGCTAGTCTTCAATCTGGTCCAGTGTAGGAGCCCCACCTCTGGAGTCAAGTCCTGCCTCCTACCTCAGTCTCATCAGAGGACCTCTTCTCTTATCCCACAGAGAACTCCAAGCCATCCAGACCCCGTTCATTTCTTGTCATCTTCAAACTTATCTGCATCTGCATTTATCTCTTTCTTCTTCCTTCTCTCCTCAGTGAAAGAAGTGACCCTCCTCCCATCTAAATCTAATGACTTGAGGCCCCACTGTTCAATGTCCTTCAATGGTTCCCTACAAATCTCCAGAATAAGGTTCAAACTCTGTCTCCCTGGTTCCTGACTGCTTTTCTTGCCCCTCACCCACTGTTCCTCCCTACACCCTCCTCCTGCAGCCCTTGCATTCATTTGGAGTTTATCAGATCCTACCAATTTATTGGAAGTCCCTCAAGTGTGACATGTTATTTCCTATCCCCAATAATTGCAAATTCTGTTTCTTCTACTAGGAATGTCTTCTGGTTAATTGCTACTTTTCCTATAAAACTCAATTCTACTTTAATCTCCTCAGATTTTTTTTATCATCCTTCTAGCAATATGCCTTGGTACCCTTTCCATATACTATTGACAATAATATCTGAAATAACTCTCAGTACTTTCCATGTGTCTATGCTTAACACACGCTTACCTGCTTAACCTCATTTAATCTCATTTAATCCTCACAATAACCCTCTGAAGAAAAGTTGTTATTATCCCTCTTTTACGGTGGGGAAACCGAGGTTCCGAGACTAAGAAAAGTAACTTTTCAGAGGTTACGTTGCAAATATAGGATTCAAACTGAGATCTGTGTGACACCAAAGCCCAATCCCCTAATCACCATTTTACACGACAGTGCCCCATGTCATGCTGTGCTTTCCTTTACCAAAACATGATTTGAAGTATCCCTAAATCTCTGCTGGTATGTCTGTTTCTACCTGCTGCTCTTGGTAAAGGCAATGAGCTCTCTTCAGTCAGGGGCCGTGCCTTTCCTCTTTGTGTACTTCCAGTGCAGACCACAGGGCCGTGCCTGTTAGCTTCCACAGTGAACATGAGTATCTAGTCACCTCGGCTGCCATAACAAAATATCATAGACTAAGTGGCTCAAACGACAGAAATTTATTTCCTCATGGTTCTGGAGGCTGGAAAGTCTGTCCAAGATCAAAATTCCAGTGGGATTTAGTTTCTGATGAGGGCTCTCTACCTGGGTTGCTGATGGCCATCTTCTTGCTGTGTCCTCACATGGCAAAAAGATCTCTGGTGTCTCTTTCTCTTCCATAAAGATATCAGTTCTGTTACATGAAGGCCCCACCCTACAACCTCATTTAACTTTAATCACCTCCTTAAAGGTGCTGTCTCCAATACAGTCACAGGGTGGGTTCGGACTTCAACTGTGAATTTGAAGGGGATGCACATTCCGTTTATAGCAATGAACTACAACTGCTCCAGTTTCAGGGACTCTGAGGCACAAATCTGCCAGCAATGGAGGAGTATCTTACATCTTCTAAGATATTGGAAGTACCTAGGATGATCCAGGAGAACATCACAGAGGAGGGGTATTGAAGGACACTTAGACTATTGAAGGAAACTAAAGTATTTTACCCCAAAATATACTTCAACATATTTCAAGATGGATTATTCAGAAAGGCTGGAAACACAGAATAGCTAAAAGACTGCCTTTTGTGGAGATTTGTCTGCTTTTCACATATATAAGCATTGGACCCTGGAAACTGCACATGCTGTGTTGGCAGTATTTGTTAATGGGCTCCATCCTGAGCTCAGTGTTCCATGTGGAAAACAGACTAAATTAGAAGCTACCTATCTAAATGAAATTGGCCTGCTTATAAAATACTGTGGTGAATTCCTACAATGCTGTGTTACCTTGGTTATCTATTTATCTTCCTCTAACATAACCAAACTGCTTCTTTAGAAAGCCTATGCCCTCTGTGCTTTGAAGTGTAAATTTGCTCTCTTGTTTTCTCTAAAACTCCGTTAAGGCATTGGCCATGTGGGACAGATAAACTTTAACCTGTTCCATTTACAGATTCACAGTTTAATCCAACCGTCCTTTTAAACTCACGAGTTTTACCTGTCATATGACTAAAATTTTTCAATCAAAGCTATACAAAAATTTTTGCCTATCATTTGAAGTATACACGTGTTCATGTCTGTGTTTATATATTGTCTACATGGTACCAAAACGACTTGGAAACAAATTAGTACTCATAAATTACATAAATAAGCCCAAATGCTTTTCAAGTTGATGTGACTTTAGTAATCTTTGGTAAATAAAGCTAGCTATAAAATTGTTGGTAAAATGAAATAAGAATGCCTTCAGAACTGTCAGTATTAACTACAATTCAAACATTTCATGTAGTACTAATAAAACATAGTATTTCATGTAGTATCAATATAGATTTTCATGTAATATTAATAAGATATAGTAAGAGATTTTTGTTTGAGTTAACTGAAAAAAAAAAGAGGGGGTGAGAGCATACATCATGCTGTCTCTATCAGGTCTTTCAATTGTTTGGAAAAGCAATTCTCCTATCAAAGTCACCTATCATTTTTTCCTAGGTCTATTGGTTAGACAGATTTATGCTGTCTTTGCTAGATGTTTTAAGGATGTTTAGATTGTTTATTAAGCAATAAAACCATTGCTTCTGAAATACTTTTGATAATTGCTTAATTTGGTCCGTTAGCTTATGTCTTTGGTTTTGAGCAGTTAGATTCCAGGGTCTCTACAAGTAGTCATTGTGAGGCCTGGGGACATATGTGTGTCCATAGTGCCTGGGCCACCAGCTGCAGGGCAGAGCCAGGCCCAATATCATCTCATTCTCCTGGCCTAGCTCTGTATCCTCCCCAGGCTGAGAGAGGACAGATCCTCCAGGCATTGTCTTCACAGCTGTCTTCTGTCCTGAGCTCTGTATCTGATATATAACAATTAAAATTGCTTACTTCCTGAAAGTTAGAGTTACTAAGAATTAAAATTGTAGTTAATATGTTTAATTACAGCTACAAGATATAAGAGAAAGAACCCTATATACAAAGGAAATTAGGATGTGTTTTTGATGAAGATACGAGAATGTGGTTTTTTTTTCAAGGAAAAGTAATTTTGTCTAGTTTAGAGGTTATTTAAATTGTTTTTTAGTTTGAAGGAAAAACGTATGGTAGATAAAACTGAATGAATATAGAAAGTTGAAGAAAGAAAGAGAATGGGAAAAATTGTAAGAGGTTATAAAAGGTTAGGAACTCTTTTGTGTGGTCAAAGCTGATAGATTAGACTGATCTGTTTTTAAGGTTTTATCAAAATTAGTTTTAGTATTAATAATACACTGATGCAAATGTAGAACTTTGTTTGCTCTTTTAAACTAGATTTTCATGTAGTATTAATAAAATATAGTAAAAGACTTTTGTTTACCTTTTGAGTAAACTGAATAAAAGAAGTGGGGAGGGTGGTAGTACATTATGCTATCTTTGTTAGCTCTTTTGATTGGAGAAGCAAGTCTCCTATCAAAGACTAAAGATACCTTTGCTTTTTAAAATCCATTAATTATAACTTTGGCTAAATAAATATTATTTTACAGTGACCTGTGATCTTATTTTGATTAAGTGTTTTAAACTTTTGGTATTTGACAGGCTTCCTAAAATCTAACCTCAAAATTCTAAGATTAAGTCTTTTTGACCTTGCACTACCTTGTTGACATTCCAAAAAGGGCCCCTGGAAGTCCAAGAGAGACATTAAGTTTATTTGGTTTGTTAAATCATTGTCAAATCAGAAATAATGTTTATTTTTGAGTTATATTTGTATAAATGTGTTATTAATGTCTTCTGAAATTGTATGAGATTCCTAAAAACCTGATGTGTCTTGATACATGTTATCAGACATATTACTATTATGTAAAATTGTCATAGGCCACAGAAAATAACCAAATTTCTTTGTTAATTCTGTCTTTATGACCACTTTAAATCTTGTCTATAGTAAATTGCTTTATGCTGATGCTTCCTCTAAAACACCATTACAAGCAAGTATAATCCTAGGTTATGTCTTTAAGGAGGTTCCTGGAAAGGATGAATAGATTCTGACAGGCACTCTGAAATAGACCTTTGCTGGTGACTTTGACTGGGTAATGATTCCAAAACATTCAATGGAAAAAAAAAAAAAATAACTGTACTAAAAAAATTGCTAATGATTTGTTTTAGGTGACCACCGGAGCAGGCACCAGAGATGAGGCAAGTAGGCAAGGTAAAAAAGCTTTATTAGCTAGCCAGTGTGAAGGAGGAAGGGGCGAGGTTCACCGGTCTCCGGGGGTGGAGGCCGAGGCCAGCGTTCTCGGGCGAGGTTCCTGGGTCCACATATGAGGAGGGGCCGAGGACGTTCCCGCGGATGTCTTCCGGGAGCAGCCTTTTATGGATGGGGCTTGAGGTGGGCAGGACGGGGGCGGGGGTAAGGGCGTCTTCATAGGCGTGGCTGGGTAAGTTTCGATTTCTTTGTTTTGACGTCACAATGCGCAGGCGCAGACAGTTGATGTTTTTCCCGGGCACGGGAAAGTCGCTGATGAAGAACCCGGAACTGTGCCATCTTGTTTACCTTCTTTACCTTCTTCCATCTTGTCCTTTCTCCCTCACCCGAACAGCTAACATAACAACAAACAGATTAAAAATTAATTACATGAGACTAAACTGATGGAGGACTAAAATAATTTTTATGACTTTTTTGTTTGAAACATTTTTGACTCTTTTTATGTGTTGTTTGTCAGAGTCATTTTTTTTTTTCTTTTAAGTTATCTATAGCTTTATAGCAATTGGGTAAAATACCCTTTTGTGAGCAAAATTGAAGAATTTACCTTTCTCTCTACGTGATTTCTCAAGAATTCAGAATCTATTCATGAGTATTCTTATTTTATGGCAATATAGTTATTTGCATGAGTTCAATAAGAATCTGTGTTTGGGTTTTTTGTTTTGTTGTTGCTGGGTTTTTTGATAACAGGACATAGTTGGAAACAATGATTATTTTACCAAGGCTTTGATTGTGAGATCATATTTTCATATATGACCAGACTGCTTTGAGGAATTGAAGTTAACTTTTATAAAGCTGATAAAAGCCCCGTGGACAAACTAACCCAATGCCGTGTCTACACAGTTTCTTTCCAGGGTTCCTGACCTTTCAGTAAGTGAAGAATGTTACTTTCTGGCCCACAAACCTCAAGATATTTTAGGGACCTCAAGAATAGAAGAATTCACCCAGTTTATATAGGTATTACAGATAGTTTTTGTCTTGGCTCCTAAGCCTCAAGAAATTTTAAAAAGTCAAATCCAGATTTCCTTACAAGAATGTTCTAGCAAAGCCAGCTCAAAACATCCTATATGGCCAAACACTATTCTTGCTGTACTTTATCCACAGGCCAAGTATAATAGACCTAAAACTTATTTTGCAAATAAATTAATTTTACTATAATTCATCTTGGTCAAAATGGGGGACTGAAGAGAGAAAAGCTATGTTTCAGAAGAAAACTATAGTACACATATTATCGTACTGTAAGTCTAACCATTGTTTTTGAGTTTTTGTTATTTGGCTAAAATTTTGACTGACTCCTAAATTCTTAACCTAGGTTCAAGTCTCCAGATCAACATTTCCAACTTTCTCCTGCCCTTGTGACTTAAAATCACTAGAAATTAAAACTGTGTTTTTCTTGAAGCCCTGCTAACTGAATCTAGATAACTTGATATAAACTTTAAACCACTACAGCAACTTATATATAAACAGCCTTCATGCTTGTTGGTGTATGGACTACTCAGGAAGCTCACTGGATCACCCAGTCAGAACTACAATCCAGGAAAATCTGTCAGGTTGCCACTGCAATCTGAAATGCTTCAGAGATCTAGGAAAATTAGTTTACAGAATACTTCCAAAATTAACCTTTTTCTCCTGTTTCCACAGAAATGCCTCTTCTTAAAGATCTTCTTGTCTACCTCAGATGTAGAAGTCTGGCTCTGAAAGCCCATCTGCAATGCCACATTCTGAAATAAGATGCAACTGTTCAACTCCGCTGACCTATCTCAGGACTAAGAGACTGATTTAAGAGGCTATGATATGATATACATAAATTTGGTCTTCTCTGCTTATCCCAATCTCTATTTTTTCCTGCTCTTTGCCTATCTCTTATCTCAAAAATTCTAACCCAAATTTCTTCAAAGCTATCAACTTGGCTTTTAATATGTGAAACTTTCTGAAAGTAAAGTTTCAGAGGAGGTACTAAATGGAAGAAACTAAAATATTTTACCTCAAAATATACTTCTTTGACATATTTCAAGATGGCTTATTCAGAAGGGCTACAAACACAAGAATAAATGAAAAGCTGCCTTTTGTGGGAAAGATTTGCATCTTTAAAGGAAATAAAGTAAACAACAGATGCAAATAAGCTTTCTCTGAAACTCTTCCTTATCTGAATCTAGGAAAGATTAACTGAGATTTTGACACCTTTAAAGCTCTGGCAGAAACATCTACCACTGGCTACCACTATTCCTTCTGAGGGCTGCTACCTGTGAGGTTTCATCTGCATAACAAGACCACTTTTGCTAGCCAGGCCTCCTCTTCTCTCCCTCTTATAATCTCTTTTGCCATGTGCCAATCCCCAATTCTTTCTATAACCTCAGATAGTACAAAAACATCAACCATTTGGCCATTTCTTTGAGTTTTTATATTTAATATGACTCTCACACACAAGTGTGCATACAATAAACCTTGTATGCCTTTTTTCCTATTTATCTATTATCAATGTGTTTTATAAACCAAAATTATCAAAACTTCAGGGGGAAAAATTTAAACTTCCATACACTATATATAAGTTGAAAAGATGGCAAAGACCATTTCTGAGAAGAGGAAAAAGCAGGGATAAAGTGGGACAGAGTCACAGAGTATTCAGGCAGGCTTCAGCTTAGCTATCAGACAGGATCCTAGTCATGAAGGATCTTGAAGCCTCTGTCTGAAATCACTGATTCTATATGATAGGTCAAAGACTACGTAGCCTTTCACCTTCTCCATCAGCTTTGAGCAGTTGGTTGGGGTCGCCTGGAACACTAAGTTGAGGATTCTGAGGCTGCATCTGAGTTCATCAGAAAGAGGGCAGTGATAGATTCGTGATGTCTGAGCACAGGGGAATAAGAGTGGCAGCAAAAATGCTGTGGATTTGCCACCTCTGCCCTCCAGGTGTGCCCCTGGTACTTCTAGGAGAATTCAGACTCATGTGGACCTGTAAATATATCCCCTACTGTTACCATGCAGTATCCACCATGCTCTTCCTTTCCTGCTCTGCTTTCCCTGATAGAGTTGATGGTCTGAAAAGCTGCTTAGAGGAGCCTTGGTTTTGCCCATGTTGAGAGTGCACTTTGTGAAACTGCCTTAATCAGGCCAGGGTGTCATTTCCCAATGCACCCAGAGTACTCCTGGGAGCCAGAACAGGGCTGGGTTCCACGCAGAGTTGGAGAGAATGGAATAGAACATGACAAAACTGTATTTGCCTTTCCTCCAAGACTCCAAACCTGTTCTACTTATGCCCATAGCTCACCAAATTATCTCGTAAAAACTGGTCAGTTCTTTCAGCTTCCAACCTTCACCTTCCTAACCTTAGGGACTCAGACACTCTCCAAAGGGTTAGGTAGTGAACAAAATCATATTATCTGTTGTCCTTGTCTCCATTCTTCCTGTAGTCCCTGACCTCAGCTAAACTTCTCCAACTTTCTCAAATATAAAACAAAGGTCTCCTTACATATTTTTTTTAAAAAAAGGTCTGATATGGTTTGGCTGTGTCCCCACCCAAATCTCATCTTGAATTATAACTTCCACAATTCCCACCTGTCCTGGGAGGAACCTGGTGGGAGGTAATTGAATCATGAGGGCAGGTCTTTCCCATGCTATTCTTGTGATAGAGAATAAGTTTCATGAGATCTGATGGTTTTAAAAGGGGGAGTTTCCTTGCACAAGCTCTCTTCTCTTGTCTGCCTCCGTGTGACATGTGCCTTTCACCTTCTGCCATGATTGTGAGGCCTCTCCAGCCGTGTGGAACTATAAGTCCAACAAACCCCCTCATTGTGTGAATTGCCAAGTCCTGGGTATGTCTTTATCAGCAGTATGAAAATGGACTAATAAAAGGTCCTTGTGAGAAGATGGATATTGACTATACCCTAAGCCCTCATCTCCCATCAGAATGCTTTATTACAGGGGAATTAAATTAGAAAACACATGTAACACCCTGTAAGTTTCTCCCTCAACTCTAACACCACTGGAGACACTGAGAGCATACTGAGATAAAATTTAATGAACCTTTATTATGCAAATGCAATGTGCTAAGTACTATGCATACACTATCTTATTTATTCATCACATTAAATCTTGAGGAGGAGGGTAAATGTTGTGTTGTGTGCTTTGGATTGTGATGACGCTTCTTGCATTCTTACTGTTTATTTCCCTGTTGCCCTTTCTTAGGCAAGACTCTCTGAAAGGAAAAATGGAGTTTTTATCTACAACTGGGCCAAGCATTAAAAGGGAAACAGCTCCCCACTTCTGAATGCCAACAAAAGGAAAGGGTTAGTAATTACTAGGCAGGAGGATGAAGAAAACTTTCAATAATATGATTAGGATTTGTGTCCCTACCCAAATCTCATCTTGAATTGTGAACCCCAGATGTTTAGAAAGAGACCTGGTGGGAAGTGATTGGATTACAGGGGTGATTTCCCCCATGTGGTTCTCATGATAGTGAGTGAATTGTCACAAGATCTGATGTTTTACAAATGCTGGTTTTTCCTGTACTGACACACACACGCTGTCTTACCTGCTGCCATGTAAGATGGGGCTGCTTTCCCCTCTGCCATGATTGTAAGTTTCCTGAGGCCTCTCCAGTCATGCAGAACTGTGAGTCAATTAAACGCCTTCCCTTTGTTTTATAAATTACCCAGTCTTGGGTAGTATCTTTACAGCAATGCGAAAACGAACTAATACAATGATATTAACTAGCATATACTGTACCATTACTTATGCTCTAAGAACTTTACACATATTTAATCTGCACTATTATGCTATGAGATAAATGTTACTGAAGATTAGAGAACTAGGACAGAGAGTGGTTAAGCAACTTGCCCAAGGTCAAACAGCTGTTAAGTGGTGGAGGCAAAATTCAAACACAGGCAGTCGAACTCCAGCCTACACAGACTCCGGGCCACTAGATGATGCTGCCTTCTCTGAGAAGGTGAAGTTCAAGGCAACCAGGTCACAGCTGGTGGTCAGGCATCCTTGCAAGTTTAATATTCTTTCTTGAGACCAACTTCAGTGTTCTGTTGTAACAAGTGAAGCCCTCCTGTGTGCAGCTCGCTCTCTCTCAGCACTTGCCAGCTGCCTTGGACACATCATAGAGCATCTGCTGGTCATAAATACCATGGAAAAACAAATTGAAATACAACTGCCTTGACACTGGGTAGGAGAGGGAGAACTCAAGGCATTGTCATGGACATCTGTCCTGTTGAAATTTTCATATTCCTGTTGTCAAAGTGAGTCAACCAGACCCTCTGCAAAGAATGAAATTAATGGACCCAAATCAAAGTGAAGATTTTGTATTCTTGTCAGAGCCCATTAAAGTGACCA